ATTTATTCTATACTTAATCTTTTCGTATCATTTCTTATCGGTTTAGCTTTTGATGTTTAGTGTTAATTATTTAACTTCGTTATTTTATCATCTTTTAATGTATATTATCTGTCACTTATCTTTCGTCGTTTTTTATTGTTTAATCGTATCGCCTTTCTATCTTCTTTTCTTTGGATTACTATTTAATATTTTATTAATCATCATAATATCGGTAGGCCAATATTTGTAAGATTTTATCGACCAGTTTTATATCTTATAGCCGATTTTTGGTTGGTTGTTTTTTTATATATCGCCTTCATATCGTCCTATCATATAAAAAAATTTCGACCAGTGTAGAGAGGTCTGACTGTAATTACATTATGATAGCCAATCAGAAGTCTTAAAATTAAAACTACAATTCAGATATTCGCAAGTTTTATTATAATATTATATAATAAAATTTACAAATTTAATGTTTTCAAATAAATATTTTAATGTTTTTGAGAATATTAAAAAATATTAAATGATTGAAGATTAATTATATAGTATATATTTTAATATTATAGTCCTATAATGATTGCATTAAATTTATTAGCTAATCTATAAATGTATACCCTCTCTAAGTGCACATACATGCCTGGTCCCAAGAGCGTGCACTTATAAAAGGTTTACTGTATTTGAAAAATTACTAGCAAGCATAGTTTTAACTAAATTACTAGCTAAAATAACATTGCTAGCATTATCAGAAGTTAATATTAAAATTTTGTTTTCTAATTTATATTCATCTAAAAGTGATAAAATTATATTTGAAATTGCTTGACCAGTATGAGAAGAGAGGATTTTAAAAATATCTAAAAGAATATGATGAAACTGTCAATAATATCAATAAAATAGTAAGTTACAGCTATATAACTAATTATAGCACAAGAGCTCTATATATCAGTTGTTAATGCAACTTTGTATAAAAGACTAGAAATAAAATTTTTAATTAATTCTTTTTGAGATTCAAATTTAGAAATAATTAAATTATGAAGAGTTTGTCAACTTGGAAGTTGTAAACATGGTTTTAGTTCATAAATAAATTGTTTAAAATATGTGTTATCAACAAAAATAAAAGCTTGCAAGTTAACTACAATCTATTTTAATAAAAGATCAATTTTTTTTTCTTGAATATTATGTGGATATGGTGTAAAACATAAGTATTGATTTAGAGTAGTTTGATGAAAATCATTATATAATCATATATGTCAAGCTTGAATATGTTGATCTAAAGAACTTGTTGATGTTTTCTCACTAAATACATTTTTGCAATAGTTGCATTAACATTGTTTAAACTTAAGTATAGTGAAAAAATCCCATACATATAAGAATGATAATGATGATCGTTTATTTGATCTAATTAAAAATAAGATATTTTCATTTATTGTAGAAAAATCTTCTTCATTATGTTGAGATAAGCTATTGTGTATTTCAATATTAGAGTTTTCAATTTTTTGAGCTCCTTTAAAGTTATCAAGTTTATTTGAATTTTCTATATTTCAAAAAATTTCAAACTCATTAAAATAATCAGATTAAAGTTCATTATTATCAGACTCTTGTTTATTATCATCAAAATCTAATTATTCATTATCAGTATTTTGCTCTTTGCTACTTAAATTATCTTCATTTGCTTTTGAACGAGTTAAAATAGAATCATAGGGCATAATTTAAAAACAGCTTTTAAATGTTAAAAAGTAATTGTTTAAAAATATAATAAAAGCAATTAAATCTTATTTTTTAATAGTTCTTTTATAAAAAAATTTTAATATAATAAGCCACTATAAATTAATTTATTTGATAAGTAATTAAATTATTAAAGAATTAAATTAAAATTTTAATTATTTAACAAATCGGAATAATTAATAACAATAGCATTTTTGAAGATAATAATAAATTTTTTATATTTTTTTTAGATAGAAATTTTTTAATACATGTAAATTTTTTATTAAAGTTTTCAAAATGGACACTAAAATATTTTGTATACTCACTGTATACTAATATAGAATTATCTAACTCTAAAAAATTTTTTTGTATACTTTAAATACAACTAATATATTTAAAGTATATAAAAATTTTTTAGAGTTAGATGATTTTATATCAGTATACAGTGAGTATACAAAATATTTTAGTATCAACTATTTCGAAAACTGTGATAATATGTGCATATAATAAGTAGTATATATATTTATTTTTAAACTGACTTTAGTTAAATACTAATAATAAAGCAAATTATAAAAGATGAAGTTTACTTAAGTAAAATTAAAAATAGATATTTGAACTGAATTTTATTATTTAAAAATAAAAATAACTAAAAATTTATTTATTAGGTTAATAATAAAAAATAAGTTATACTAAATATGTTTTAGAGAGTTTGATTTAAAATATTAACAAAGTTTTATAATAATAATGATAAATTCTTCTTTATTATATATTTGTTAAAACTTGATTTATATATATTCTTTGCTATTCATTTATTTACTATTTAATTTTTTTTAAATTATTATTACTAGTTATTTGTAAACTAAATTTAAATATATATTAATTAGTTTGCTACTATTATTTTGTGCTAATTAATTTAATTAATTTTCTTATTTATATAATTTAAATCATATTTAATATTTTTTCTAATTCTAGTTAAATACCTATGCATTGTTTTAAATATATTATTTTCCAATATAATGCTTGCGATTGTAGATACCCAAATACAAAATTATATAGAAGTAGCATTTTAAATTTAAACCGCAAATATATTTTTGAAACCATATTTATTAGCAAATAGTGACTTAGATTAAGCTTTATTAAAATGTAATATATAGCATACAGTATATATAGTTAAATTGAAATATAAATATAGATTACCTTTTATGGTTAATTCAATTAGAAAGAAGCATGTAATTATATTATAATTCTACAATGCTAGTTAACAAGATTTTATTCAAAGTAATCAATTATATTAATATAAATAGTTATTAATTTCACTTATTTAACCTATATATATTAAATCTATAGCTACAGACAAAATAAAGTAATACAAACAATGATAGTAAAGAATAGTTTTTCTCAAATAACTTGTGAATATATTACTATTGTAATTATTTTGTTTAAGACTTATTTATTTAGTTAATTAATATCTAATATAAGGTTGGAATAATCTATATATATTGATTTAATTATATATCAGTCACACGATTTGTCACACCTGAAATTTAACATATGATTTTTATAGGTTATACAAAATAATAAAGTTACTTTTTTAAAAATTTTATCTAAAGTCTTAATAGTAATACATAATTCTTTCTAGGACAAAATTATTCTTGAGGGTTTTGCAAATAGAATAATATAAAAACATAAGAAACAAATATTTCTATCTAAAATACTATGCCTCCAAAGTTGATCAACCATTTTGCCTTTAGCTGTATGATGTTTTTCCAGTTTAAATAATTTTCGCTTAGAAAGTTAATCAAAGGATACACCTATGTGCAAGCTTTTGAAAATGTATTGGATCATACGTAATGCTGTTAGCTAAAATTGTTTTATGCTTGTAGAAATATTTGACATTTGATATTTAGTCTGCCGAAATGTCTAAATATTGCTGAAATCCTAAATTATGCCGAAATGTCTAAATAATGCCAAAATGTCTAAATAATGTCAAAATGTCTAAATTAAGAAATATATAAAAAAAAACATAAGCGAATTAGAACTATTAATCAGTTCTAGCTAAAACTGCCAGTCCTGTGTTCATACTTAGAACTAGGCCAATCTGGTCTTTTATAAGCTAAACAGACCAAAAAGACTATCAGTCCGAATATAGTAGCTTTAAATTATTATAACTAACATGTGTAGCCTAATTTTTTGTATATGCGAGGTTAATTTTTTTAATACTGCTGTATCTAAATATTATAAAGCTGTTGCAGTAATTGTTAAAATACTGTAATGCTACAAATAGCATAGAATAACATAGGATAAAATTCTGCTAGTGTTTATTGTTTAAAGTAATTTTTAGAATCAAGATAGGAAATCATTGATTATCAAAGTTTGTAGCGAAAGATCTTAATTTTTTTTTTCTGTTTAGTCAAGATTATTTCTTATAGCTGTGAGTTTGTTTTTGAATTATCCTAAAATAAAAAGACTTGTTTTTGGATGTTTTAAAACTTCTAAATTGTTCTATGTTTTTACTAATGTAAAAGCAAACGTAAATTCTCAAGCTGCAGATTTACAACGTAGCTATTATATTTATGATTAAATTGGTAACAGTAAAGTGAGCTATGTTATATTTTGTTATAGGTGATGAATAATTATAATTGTCATTAATTTAAGAAATCAGTATTAAAAAGAATGAACACAAAAGCATTTAAATATTATCAAAAATCTGATAGTATTTTAATTTTAAACTATACCACTAACCCTACTCTAACTTAAGCTGAATGTTTAATCATATTAAGTTGCAGTGTAATAAGCATAAGAGGTTGTTAATT